CAGACAAAGGGCAGTGGAGGACTTCAGGTGTTCTGCTCTATCACTTGTCTCTATATTCCCTTGAGACAGGATCTCTCACTGAACTTGGAGCTGGGCTGGAAGCCAGTAAGCCGCAGTGATCCTCATTCCTCTGCCCACTCAGTGTCCACCATTGAGGTTACAGGTACAGATGTGGCCATGCTAGGCTTTTGCCCAGCTTTTACTTGGCTTTTATGTGGGTACTGAGGGTCTGAACTCAGGTCCTCATGCTTACTCACTGAACCATTTTCCCAGCCCCTGCTTTAGGTTATTTTTAAAGTAATTGTTGATAAGCTTTAGTGTTTTATAATTAGCTCTGTATTATTTGCCACATCCCTGATAAAAACACACAAGAGTATGGACTTGTCTTGGCATTGATTGCTCTTGGAAATCAGTGTTCTAGAGCCTCTTTCTGTAAAGCAGCAATTACTAGCCACACATGACTGTTGAGCGCTTCAAGTGTGGCACAGTCACACTCCAACTTGCAATAGGCAACACGTAGGTGTAAAATATTCATCGCAATTTGAAGACCTGCTACCAAAACAAGACTACAAACATCTCATTAATATTTTATGTTGATTACATATTAGAGTGATAATATTTTGGATCAAATAATATATTAAAGTGATTGCACCTGCTTCTTTACACTAGTTTAAAATATGGCTTCTAGAATTGTAAATTATATATGGGGTTTATATTATTTGCCTTTTTGACAGCACTGTTCTGAAGTGTGCTAAAATACTTGCATTCTGCAAAGAACAATGTATTCTAAAATGAAATGGAGTTCTTTTTTTAAAGGTTAAAAAACTCATTCAATTTTATGTCTTACAGGGCCTATCCTGAGTTCAATATTGTATAACTGTATTAACTCAGCTGTGAACCTAGAAACTTTCACCCACTTGTGAAAGAGATGTACTCTTGCTCTGGAGTGAGATACTGAATCTGTTAAAGCTGTGGTGAAATGTTTCTTCTAATCATGTAGTTATTAAAAATGACAAATGATAAAAAATAATAATTCTTCAAAGCATAAAAATTTGCTCCTTAATAATTAGTAGATGTGAAAAACATTGCCACTGAAATCTACCTGATGACTTTATATCCATGCTCAGATGCCAAGGAGCCATGTGCAAACATCCAATGTCAATTGCATTGAAAAAGAATTTTTCTGTATGAAACTGTGTATTTTAATAATTAAATGGAGATCTTTTTTAAAGGTTAAAACCTCATTTAATTTTATGTCTTATAGGGTTTATACTGAGTACAATATTGTATAACTGTAATAATTCAACTGTAAACCTAAAAATTTACAGCCAATTTTGAAAGCGATGCATCTTAGCTCAGGAAAATGTTATTGAATATGTCAATGCTGTTGTAATGAAATGCTTCTTCTAAGTATGTGGTTATTAAATAAATAATTTTAAAAAACACCGAAAAAGAAAAGACTTGCCTTCTAGTTCCTTTGCTAACTTTCAATTGCCACAAGACTTTGAGCTATTTGTTTTGTTTCTTGGTCTAAGGTTAGAAATTCATTCAGCAAGTGTGCAGAATACTTACTACATGCAAAGAATTCATGAAACAGGAAATATAAATGAAACAGGAAATATAAGATGTGAGCCTGTCCACTCACTCACTCAATTGATTCTTTCCCATCTCATCCCTATCCATTAATCAGTGTAGTTAAATGTCGACAATGGGAATTTCATTTAAATTTCATTTAAATTTTCTTGCAAACATTTTATCTTAGAATAATGAATATTGGATGATTTGAGCAAGACCCGAACACACGTATGTACAAAGTACATGGTCTTTGCTTCCTCTGAGTTCAGAGTCTGAGCATGGCTGCTTTCCTGGAGTACCCTCCCCACCCCCAATCCACATCTAGCTCAGGAAGTAAGTTTCCTGTGGCAGAGCTCTGGTTGACCTAGCATTCGGCTCTTCTGTTTACTTATACCACACTGACTCTAATCTTGGCCACATGGCTTGAAGGATATCACAAGCAGAATGTTGATCTCTGTTTGCTTAAGAAGCTTAACTTATTTTTAATTAATTTTTAGTTAGTGTACAAAATAATGCATTTCATTATGACAGTTCCACACATGCATTAATATATAATTGAGGCTTGTCTTTCGGACTCCTTTTTGCAACTCTGCAGTTTTGCTGTGAGGAACCCTGAATGGCCACAAGGAAAAGTCCACACAGAGGAAGAAAGGGCCAGGGGCTCACCCAGAAGTGATTCTTAACCTGGGATGATATTGCCCATTGGGGTATATTTGGCAGTATCTGGAGACACTTTTGGTTGTCACAACTGGTGGAGAGTGGCTACTGGCATCTAGTGAGTAGAGACCAAGGATGCTTCTCAGCATCATATGTATAAGGGAGAGCCCATAGCAAAGAATTACTGAGTCTGACTGTCAGCTGTGGTGAGGCTGAGAAACAGGTATAAATCAAGGTTTCTTCACAATCTGCCTCCTGTGGATCAAGGAAAAGTGGCTTGGGAGAGAAAGTGTTCCACACAAACAAATTCTGTAGTCGTACTCTTAAGCCTGTACATTTCCTGGTGATGGCATTGTGCACAGCCTGTACTTATGATGATTTTTGATGACTCCAATGAGTATCTTCATCTATCACAACGGCACTTTACCCATTGTTTACACTGATCATTTAAGTACAGTTATTCATCAAACTGTTGAACCAACAATTTTCCTTTCATGCATGATATCCCAGATATTGATGCTCATGCTACTATCCAAATCCCAATTCAATCGTACCTTCTAGAACTCCCATCTATGAATCAGCCCATAGACCAGGGACTTTAACTTCTATTTTATACTCCCTCAGTCTTGTTATCAAAGAATCCTGGCTCCACCATACTAATAGGAAGCTCCTTTCTCTCTGACAGGAGCATGTATTTATTTGGAAGAATGCCATTATTAATCAGTTTTATCTATGAGATAAATTATAAGGACAGAAAAATTATAGTAATATTGTTGGGAGTCAATTTTATTAGGAGAGTTCAAATATAATTACATTAGCAGATTCATTCAATAAAAGTTGTAGGCATATGTTTGGGTATGAGCATAAATCTCATTGCTATGGTAATTTATTATGTAAATTTAATTTATTATGGAGTATAGTCATATGCCACTTAACGTGTGGGATATGTTTTGACAAATACAGCCTGAGGTGAATTCATCCTTGTTTGAACATTGTAGAGTGTACTTAAATGAACTAAGGTAGATGGGACATCGCTAAGCGATATTATCTTAATGGTACCACCTTTGTGTATGTGGTCTGTTATTTGAAAGTTTATGCAACATATAAGTGGGGATAGTTTAAAAACATTGTAGATAGATTATTGTTTTGAGACAAGGTCTCACTATGCAGCACAGGCTACCCTGGGACACTTGATTCCCTGATTGAATCTCCCAATTAATGGAATTGTAGGCTTATATCATCCTATTTGTTTATTTATTTGGTCTTTTCTGAGACAGTCTCCCTGTAGCCCCGGCTGGCCTGGAATTTGCTATGTAGACCAGGGTGGAGTCGATCTTACAGAGATCTGGGCTTTAAAAAAATGATAGGTCATACACACCTTTCTAAGCATAATGAAAAGGGACAGAAATGCTACTGCAATGGTGCTTTGGACAACATTTTGATAAGAAGGCATTTGGAGTTTAAAAAGGAAACCCTTTTGTAACTTCAGTTAGCAAAATACAAGGACCCAGATGAAAAATCCCAAGAATATGGACAATCCTTATAATGTTCCAAATCCCAATAATATGAAGTGGGTTTAGAGTAGGCTACAAGTCAACTGCAGGTGGCCTTCACTGTTAATAATAGTCCAGTTCTTGCTGAACCTTAAAAAAAAAACCCAGTCATTTCTCTAACAAGCTTATTTGTCTCTGGAGCATTATTAAGAAAGCATTACCAACACCCTAGTCCTCCAATGGGCACAGAGGACATCTCCTTTCCTTACAGTTGGTTTGTGCCCAGTGGTTGGCTCTGATATTAGCTTCTTCAGAAAAGCTTTTGTCTTTGTTTCTACAGAGGTTGGAGGTGAGGGAGGCACAGGGATCTTAGGATCAGGTTTTTGAGAATCCAAGGGTCAGGAGGTTGTGAAGCTGTCCTAAGAATCAGTATATCTATGTTATACGTTAAAATGAGGGAGTTCAGCATATGGGTTAGATTCCAGGGAGCAACCCTTTCCCTGCACCTGTGTTTGGGACTCAAATGGTGGCTGGCAGACTGCCTGTTTGAAAGATATGGGACTACTCTGCCCTTTAAGGAGCAGTGCATTGAACTACTAAGGACCAAGCGGGTAAATGCTATAGGTTGTGCACCCAGAGGCAAGAGAAGATACGTAGGCATTTGTACAACAAGAAAGAAAACAAATTTTCAGCTTTTTTGACAAAATTCAAAACAAAATGATATTTGACTTTTTTTTTTTTTTTTTTTTTTTTTTTGGACACACTTCTAAACTCGTGAGAGAAAAGGAATTCCTTTTTGGGGAAATATGTTTTTCTTAGTCCAGACTCAAAATGTGGTTACATAGTGCAAACATGCTTCGCTGCCTGGTGCAAACGAAGGCCACTGTGTGGGTCTGGCCCACGTAGTCCCTTGATGTATTTGAACCATAGGCATCGGGTTCTGGGCTTCCGGGTTGGAAGGCGGTTCTTGGCTGCCAGGTACCTCCAGGGCCCCTTCCCGCAATGTTCTGCATGTCCAGTTTATCTGGTTCATTGGCCTCCCCACTGCCAAGGCAAGTCAGAGGGGTCAAGTGTGGGGCCCTGAGCTCTCCCACGTAGTAACCACACCTGGACACTTCGGGACCACCCAGGGCTTCACAACCTGCCGCTCCGCCAGCGTGGGCTGAAGCAGCTTCCTGGCATTCTCCTGCTCCAGCTCAGCTCCTGTTCCTCCTCTCCCCGCCCCTCTTTCCGCTCCTCCCCCAGCTCCTCCCTTTTCGCTCCTCCCCTCCCCTTGGTCCCGCCGGCTCATTTTCCCGCTCCACCGGCAGCTACTGCAGAAGCCATCTGCGTTGCACTCGCTGTCGCTTTTCTCCTAAGCTGCGCGCAGCTCGGTACCCGCGCGTCATCATGCCCAACATCGTGCTCTTCAGCGGCAGCTCGCACCAGGACCTGTCCCAGCGCGTGGCCGATCGCCTGGGCCTGGAGCTGGGCAAGGTGGTCACCAAGAAATTCAGCAACCAGGAGACCAGGTGGGAGCCACACTGGCGCTAACGTTGGGTCCCCGGCCGCCGGGTCCGGCCAGTCCAGGGGTTGACTTATGCCGGGGCTACCGCGGCCGCCGCCGCGCCCCCCCTTCCGGGGCGGGACGGCGGCAACGCGGCCTCAGAGGCACCGCTGCTGCGTCTAGGGAGAAATTGAGCTGGGGAGCGCGCCGCCCGCCATCCGGCAGTACCCGAGCGCGTCCAAGGCTGTCTCTCTGATGGCCGGGCTTCTGGCTCCCGGTCCATGGCGACCGGTCAATCCATATGCGCCCAGGCCTCCCTTTTGTGCCCACTAGTCCCCAGTCCGGAAGGGCGACATCAGGACGGTCACAGATCGTCTGAGAGTGTTGATGCAGCGTGTGGGCACCACATCGGTGCCTGGACGGTGTGAGGGGGGTCGGGGGCATCGGTGGATACACCTGCCCGGGTTTCCGCGTCCCTACCAAGCTGAACCCCAGACCCTTGTGTGGTGGGAAAGGTTCTGTACCCGTCCGGTGCACTGGATTTACCTGGGGAAACTTTCAAACAGTACTTCCCTGGGCCTGCCTGCATACAGTCTGATCCAGCTTGTGTGAGATCCGGGTGCTGCCAGCTGCTCAGGTGACTTTCCGGAGCAGCTAGGGTGCTTAGCACCGCCTTATCCAGAAAGTAGGTTTGTGCTGGAGTTGAAAAGAGCGTGAGAACGCAGGACGCACGTGCTGGGTGCCGCTAGCCTTCCTCTAACTTTCCTGCCTCCAAGATCGTGGACTCGCAGCTTGGACTTGCAACTTCTTTGTGTTTATGGAGCTCAGCTGTGCACAACAGCAAGAAGCTAGTTTGGCATGAAATTCCACCCATTTCTCTAGTCGGGGAGAGGGGTTCATCAGTATTTAGGGCAGCCAAGCGTTGGTCCTCTTCAGAGCTTGAACTGAGGGGCTCCCCTTCCCACATGCTCACAAAGTTCTCTGATCAATTTCCTTTCCCTCACTTTATGACTAATGGTACAGTTAACTGTACACACTGACAGATAACCATTCTCTTTGGCAAAGTACCAGATGAACCAACAACTTTTTAAAATGATGCTGGAACAGTTAGCCATATAAAGAAGAAAAAAGAACCTTCATCTAAAATTTCCTCCAGAAAACAGTAGAAAATCTTGATGACTTTGAGTCAAATGAGAATTTGTGAATTTATGGGAAGGTTTTGTTTTTGTTTTTGTTTCTTTGTTTGTTTGTTTGTTTGTTTTTCCTACTGTTCTTTTCCTTAAGTTTTTTGAGACAGGATTTTGCTATGTATCTACACTGGCCTCGAACTCACAGTAATTCCCCTGCCTCAGCCTTCAAAGTGCTGGAATTACAGGTATATGGGTCACCAGGTACACCTAGAAGTTAGGTTAATACTAAAGGTAGAAGTGATTTTCTTGAGCAATGTAACCAATGTAACCCATGTAACCTTTTTCTGGGTGGTAAATTTCATTTATGTGGCTTGGAAACTAATAGAAGAAACATTGTAACTATCAAATGGTATTGCCTGTGGACAAAGAATAACACTGGCTCTGAGGAGATAGTTCATAGAATTGCTTGCCTAGCATGCATGAGGTCCTGGGTTTGAGCCCCACAACTGCATAAAACAGGATGTAGTCGAACACATCTGTAATCCCAGCCATCCAGAGGCAGAAGCAGGAGGATCAGGAATTCAAGTCCATCCTTAGCTACACAGTAGGTTTGAGATTAGCCTGTCTACATATGAGCTCCTTTCTCCAAAGAAAGAAAGGCCACTTTGCATGTTTTTGAAGTGTTGGGGATGGATCCCAGGCCCTTGTGCATGCTAGTCAAGCAGGTTCAACCATCACCAGCCCTCACTTTGCAAAGTTTAATGAAAAGACGATGATCCAGGACTTTGGAGAAGGATGGAGCTAGGTTTAAATATTGCAATATTTTCCCAGTCCTGTCCAAGTATCAGTAGCTCTAAGGACACCAATAGAGCAAGACTCTTTGTTCAGAAGGTGTTGTCATCTACATAAAGGAGACATTTCTGGATGGAGTGGGTTTGAAAGCCCTCCTGTGTTATCTCAGTGCTGCACCATTCTTTGGGACAGAGCATGGCTAATTAAGACCAGTTCACTGCTAGGTCAGTGTTGGATTTCTGCTAAAAATATTGTGTGGGCTGTTGGGTGAAACTGTCTCAGATGTTCCACTGTGATTGCTTATACACTGATATTAAATAGAAGCCTTGATTTTATTTAGAAATCATAAGGTCTTGAAGAGCCTCTCAGCAAGAAGTCTGAGAATTGCTTATATAGTTACATTTTATGCTTTATTTGTTTAGTTGGTCAAGTTTATGTTGTTTTGTTTGTTGTTGATTTTTGCCTTTTTTTGAAACAAGGTCTCATATAGCTAGGCTCGCCCAGAGCTTTGTAGTAACTGAGGCTGGCCTTGAATTCATGATCCTTCTGCCACTATCTCCTGAGTGCCTCAGTGCTGGGATTACAGAAGTGCAAAACTATGCCTGACTCCATTATGTTTGCAATATGTAGAATTTTAAAAAGGTTAATCTTATTTTTTTCCCCATGAACTGCATGGGGACAGCCATTGATCTTTGCAAACAATCCTCTAATTGGTTTTCACTATGCGATGCTAGAGACGAGACACCAAAAGGCAAAAAGAAGATATTCTAGTTTGTTTCTCCATTGCTGTGACAAAACACTCTGACCACTACCAACTTGGGGAGGAAAGGGTTTATTTGTCTTATATCTCCCGGGTCACAATTCATCAGGGAGCCCAAGGTAGGAACTCAGGGCAGGACCCTTGAGGCAGGAGCTGAAGCACAGGCCATGGAGGAACACTGCTTACTGGCTTGCTCTCCTGGCCCCTGCTCAACGTACTTTCTTATGCAACACAGGCCCACCTACTGGGTGTGGTACCACCCACAGTGGGCTGGGCCCTCCCACATCACTCAACAGTCAAGGAGATGCCCCACAGACATGGCCTCTGGCCAGTCCAATGGAGGTAATTCCCCAATTGAGGCTCCCTCAACCCAGGTGTGTCAAGTTGACACTAAAGCTATCCAGCACAGAAGAGAAAAATTGGTTCAGTTTATGTAAGGAACTCCTTCCTAAGAGCTTCTTGCTGAGTGACAACCAGAAGTCTGGATGCTGTATCCTAGTCCTCAGTCCCTGTCCTCCCCACCCAGCCCCCATTCCCTGTTCCCAGTTTCTTAAATGCTACTTCATCAGAGATAGAGTTTCTCATCTCACAATCATTTCCAATGTATAGGGAGAAGTCTGTTCAGTTTCTCTACTGACCCCAGAGAACCTTCCATGATGGCTACAGCAGCATTCATGATGGTATCCACAAATATTTTGTAATATTTTACCCTGGTCAGTTAACTGCCTGGGTCCTCATCTGTATCACAGGACCCAGTGTTCTAGTTATTGCCGTTTAGCAAATCATCCAGAACGGAATGGCTTGAAGCAGTGGGGTTTTTTTTGGCTTCCATATCTGAAGTTTGTGCAGGTCCAGGCAAGGAAGGCTTGCCACCAGTGGTGGCGGCGAGGGTGGGTGCTGGGGCTGCAGGGTCTGTTTTTGAGGATGACTCAATCACGAGGCTGATCAGTGTGGGTTCCTTTTGCCTCCGGAAGCTTGGCTAGGAAGCTCTCCACAGTGCTGCTTGGCTTCCCTTCTAACATAGAAGCTGGCTTCCAAGAGGGAGAGTTTCAAAAGACAGGAAATAGTAACTACCAGCCGTCAAGGGCTGAACTTAGAAGTTAGAAGTTGGCACGTCATCACTTCTGTAGCACTGTGTTGGTCAAACATGCTTCTGTCCTAGATGCTTGGGAAGGGACTCAGATTCTAGGGAAGCGACATAGCTCCTGGTCCATGAGACAAAAATGTGTTATAAGCTCTTCAGCCATCTTTTAGTTGCCACAGCTAGTCATCATTGGTTAGTTACGTGCTTCAGCCTTCTTGTCTAGGGATGTCTTTTCCTTGGGTTGATCTTCTATCCACAATCTGTTCCAGACCTACAGTACAGATTGGAAGGGTCTTCTCTGTGAGTAGAAACAGGACTGGCTTTGGAAGAAATGTTCCCGTGGTGTTTTCTGTACTCCCCTGGACTGCTGGTCACAGGAGGATTGCAGTTCCTAAGTGAGGAAAGGCAGGCCAAAGAATGTGATCTTCTGGGGATAAACAGTCATAAGATCAAGAGTTGGGAAACTCTCTGTAAAAAGCCAGATCATAAATATTTTAGACCGTGCTGGCCATGTGTAGTCCCTGTTACTGCTCTGTATCTTGTATCTTACAGCAGGACTGCCTTGTCTCTTGAGGCTTTGTGGGAAAATCCTTGCTTTTTGTTTTTTTGGTTTTTTTTCTTTCCTTTTTTTGTTTTTTTTTGGGGGGGGTGGTTGTTTGTTTTTGGTCTTTTTGAGACAGGGTCTCTCTGTAGCCCCAGCTGGCCTGGAACTTGCTATGGTGACCAGGCTGGCCTTGAACTCACAAAGGTCCATGCTTGCCTCTGCCTCCCAAGGGATTAAAAGCATGTGCCACCACCCCTGGCTCCTTTCTAGCTTTCTATCTATCTGTCTGTCTGTCTATCTATCTATCTATCTATCTATCATCTATCTATCTTCTCTCTCTCTCTCTCTTCCTTAGACAGGGTCTCATGTATCCCAGGCTGTCATTGAACTGTCAGTGTAGCTGAGAATGACCTTGAACATGTGATTCTCCTGTATCCATCCCCCAAGTACTGGGATTACAAGTATGCCCCCCCATGCCTGGTTTTATGTAGTGATGGGACTCAAAATCAGGACCTTGTGCATGCTAGGCAGGAACTCTACCCACTATGCTAACATCTCCAGCCCCTTTTCCAGTTTTGTAGGTAGCTCACAGCCCTGGACTTTTGGGTACTTCAGCAACAGAACATCTCTAGACCTGCTTCAGTCATCATGGCCCTTTCTCACTCTACCCACTAATCTTCCTCTTCCATTTTGAAGGGCCACTGTGACTGACTGCATGGGATGAGCCCAAATATCAAATATAGCCTCTGTGTTTAAGATCAGTGGATTAGGATCCTTAATTCCATCTGCATATATTCATCCCCTTGGCAGTGTAATCTAATATAGTCAAAGGATTAAGGTATAGATGTCTTCTGTGGGGAGGTCATCATTGGGCCTACTACATCATTCTTTGCTTGGAAGTCATACAAAAATAGGTTGCACGACTGTATTTTGTCAACCTCTGAACTGTGTAATACTTGATTTCCAATACTTGATTTCCAAATTAAATTTTTCTTGTACTTGCTATAATTACATTAATTTTTAAATTATTTGTAGGTGTAGATATATGATGTGGGGGGTGGGGAGGGGAGGGAGGGAGAGAGAGAGAGAGAGAGAGAGAGAGAGAGAGAGAGACATGCATGCCACAGTGCTTATGTGGATGTCAGAGGAGAACTTTCAGGAGTCAGTTCTCTCCTTCCTCGTTATTGAAGCGAGGCCACTCTTATTTCTGCCGCATTGCGTACTCTAGGCTAGCTGGGTCCTGAGTTTCCAAGTGATTCTCCTGACCCTACTTCCCATCTCTCTGTAGGACTGCTGGGATTACAGATGACTCACCACTATATCCAGCTTTTTATGTGGGTTCCAGGGATTGAACTCAGGTTATCAGGCTTGCTTGGCAACTGTGTTTACCTACTAAACCATCTCATTGATCCAAGAATTATGTTAATTCTTTAGCACTCAAAATAAGAGGTATGTTTAGCATCCTTTCTGTTCCTGTCATCCTGAGGCTTACAGTATACTATCAACACCTCTAACAGAGCCTTATACAAGAATGTGATCAAACATCAACATTTATTTTTCTGAACTCCTCAGTGCAGTGGCACACGCCTATAATTCTAGCACTTAGAAGATGGAAGCAGGAGAATCAGCAGGTCAGGGTCATCTTGGCTGTGATTATAGGTGTGTGCCACCATGCCAGGTTATGTTTATATATTTTTAAGTAGCTGTATTCATCTGGGCACAGTGAAGTTTTCTGCATTAAAATTTTCAGTACTGGAGATGAAACCCAGAGTCTCATGCATGCTTAGGCAAGCATTTTATCACTGAGCTGCACACATAGCCCCAGTTTTCTGCATCTCTTCTCAAGATAAAAGGTTGGCCAAAAAAATTCACATGATATTCATGTTGTCCCAGATATATCAAATTGTTCCAAATTTTGGAACACATTTACCTTTTCAAAATAAGTGTTCTATCAGAACTGATCATATTCCTTGTTCTGCAGTACTCTGTAAAGGATATGCCAGAGAACACGATGTTTTATTTCTCATTACAGGACAGCCAGGTAGCATGGATGGACTGACTGTCACAGTGAATGTCCCAAACTCTATGGCTATAAGTATACAATTCTCAGGCATGCAGTTTTGAATTTTAGCTTTGATTTTTTTTTTAAATTTTTGATTTGTTTTCTTTTGTTATTATGTTTCAGACAAGCTCTTCCTATAGCTTCTGCTGGCCTGGAATTCACTTATGTAAACCAGGCTGGCCTTGATCTCACAGAGATCCACCTGCCTCTGCATCCTAAAGGTTGGGATTAAAGGTATGCACTACCACTTCTGGCCAAGATTGTAATTGTTAATGAGGCATGTGGGATGGAATCAGAATGTAGTAATGAAAAAAATCAGCAAAAAAAAGGTACTGTAAATCACACAGAGAAAGTTACATATGAAATGAAAATATGAACATTGATTTAATTTTCATGCAATGGCTCAGATGTGAATATCATTTACAGAGTTAAAATGTAATGTCAATCTTTAGCTTGCATACTGATCTATACTGGCATGATGGCAAGTGGGGAAGGGCACATCTATGTGATGGGGCAGAAAAGAGGAGGTATTAAATCCTCATCTTCCATAGTGAGAAGTCAATACCTGATTCCTCAGGAAAAATCAAGTCAGCAAACTTCATTAATTAGCCCAACACTTGAAAATAAATCTCTATCAAAAAAGCATATCAAAAGTTGAAATCAGTTGTCTTCAGGCTTTTCATCTGTTATTAGCGTAATAGAATATTTTTTTGTATCGAGACTGGGTCTCTGTAGTCTGGCCTGGAACATACAAGAATCCTCTTCTCTCAGCCTCCTGAGTAATAGGATTATAGGCTGAACTACCACACCATGATCATGATTTGAATTTGTGTGTGTGTGTGTATACACCTGTTTGTGTGATTGTCTGCACGTGTACATGGAGACCAGAGGTCAACATCAGGTATCTTTTTACATCCCTCTTCTGCTTTATTTTTGAGACAGCATTTATCACTGAACCTGGAGTTCACTGATTCAGTTGACTTGCTGGCCAGTGAGGATCTACCTGTCTGCTTCTCTGGCTTCTCTGGTGTTGGAATTATAGATATGTGCCATCGCACCTGACATTAAAAAAGAAATGTGTTGGTTCTGAAAATTCAAACACAGGTCCTCATGCCTGTGCTGGCCGGCACATTACTGAGCCATCTCCCCAGCTCCAGTGATTTGAATTTTTAAGACAACATCCATGACTACCTTTAACAGGATTTTTCCAAAAGTAGTGATCAGAGTATGCCTGGAATGTAGAAGGGAGTCCCTTAGAGGTAAGCCCTTCACTGGCCTGTAGGAACGTAGCTCTTGCAAGGATTCCCACACCATTCCTTGGTAAGAATGGCTTACTGTATGTAAACGATTAACAGTTAGGAAACAACGTGACTTACACTGAACACCAGCACGCCAGAGAATCTAGCATTTTGGTATGCACTAGGCAGTGGGTGAGTATGTGACTAGCTCCCAATGAAATCCCTGGGCTATAAAGAAAAGAAAAGAAAAGAAAAGAAAAGAAAAGAAAAGAACCCTGGGCTCTGAGTCTCCAAGGCTCTTCCCTAGTAGGCAACTCTTCCCATTTGTCACAGCTCACTGCTGGAGGTTTTGAACTGGACTTCTTTGAGTCCCCGGCAGGGAGGGGGCTTGGAGTCCCTCAACTTCCCCTCATGAAATATTTTTCCTTTGCTGGTTTTGCTATGTGTCATATTCCCTTCATAAGCCACTGTCAGGAGTTCACCTGTATGCTGAGTCCCATGATTGAATGTACTGGACCACTGAACTTGGGGGGGTGGTCTCAGGGATTCCTGAGACACAGACATAATTTATATTAATCAGTGTTTTGATAGTCACTTGTCAACTTGATACACTCTAGAATCATTTGGGAGATGGGCTTCTGGGCATGCCTGTGGGGGATTTTCTTGATTGTGTTAATTGAGCTGGTGAGACCTACTCACTATGGTTGGCACCATTCCCTGGCTAGGACCCTGGATTCTGTAAGTGGAGAAAGGGAGCTGAGCAGCAGCATGCATTTTTTTTAACTTGCTCTGCTCTCGAATTCTGGATGGAATATGACCAGCTATATAGCTCCTGCCATCTTTGCAGGCACGATGGGCTGTACCTTGAACTGTGAGCCAAAACGAACCCTTCCTTCCTTAAGTTGCTTTGATTTGGACATCTTATTATAACAACACGAAAAGACACTAAGATTGGCACTGTTCTTTCCTAGTGTTGAGATTGGTGAAAGTGTGAGAGGAGAAGATGTTTATATCATCCAGAGTGGCTGTGGAGAAATTAATGACAACCTCATGGAGCTGCTCATCATGATCAACGCATGCAAGATTGCGTCTTCATCCAGGGTGACTGCTGTGATCCCCTGTTTCCCATATGCCCGCCAAGACAAAAAGGACAAGGTAGGCGAGGTGTGTCCTGTCTTAGAAACCTGCTGTGGGTTTCTTCATCAACTGCCTTGATTAGAATATCCAGAGGTGTTGGCTTTCTTTCTCTCTTAATGGTCACATAAATATGTATCCTCGCCTTATCTATTTCAGAGTTGTCACTGAACCCACCATAATGTTAATGTTTACATATATCAAAGCAAGCAATGCATATTTTTGAAGGTATGCAAATACCATTATTATCCTTGTCATGATGAAGTCGTGTATTTGTGTGGTGGTGGATAGAACTAAATAAACACAATTACATAGACACACACAGTCTTCAATGAGTACAATCAAACTGAAGCCCACCCAGATCAGATCACTGCATTGGATCAAGGTGAGAGTCCGAGTCGCAATACTGTGCTACATATAGTTCTGCAAGCTGTTTCCATTGTTAGACTGGGTAAAGGGGCCATAGGATATTTTCATTTTTCCTTACAACTACATGTGACTCTGCAGTTCTCCCCCAAATGAAAAGTTTGATTAAAATAAATATTGTGTCTGGGTTATTTTTTAATCCTTTTAAGGAGAATGGCTTATTCCTTTAGCAACATTACCATCAGTGAGGGCTCTGTAAGTTTCCAAAAGAAGAAAATACCATTCTTAGCCCTTAAGATACATTAGAGAAGAGAGAACTGAGGCAAACTTTGAGGGAGCTTGTGTTGTTTGTTAGGGGTAGATTAAAAGAGCAGTGAGTTATTCTTTCAGAGGTTCACGGGCCTGCTATTTGAGATCAAGGTGTGTCCTGGCCGTGTTCCCTTTACAGGATGTAGAGGAGGATCCTTCCTGCCTCTCCCAACTCCTGAGGCATTCACATGTCCCTTGACTAGTGGCCTCATCCTTTCAGTGTCTGCCACTTTCTTCATGAGATGTCTCTGTGTCTGAATCTCCTCTTCTGCCTCCCAGAAGGACACTGTGTCATTGCATTTAAGGCCACCTTCATCTAGAATAGTCTCATCTCAAAGTCCTTCACTAATTATATCTGCAAAGATGCTATGTAAGTTCCATTTACAGATTCTGGGGATAAGGACATGCACATAATGTTTTGGAGGTCCCCATTCAATCTACCATAATTTGATCCAACCTCCAACAAGGCCCTAAGGGAGGATCTTCCCTGCCTTGCCCAGCTCCTGGGGGCACAAGACATCCCTTAATTTGGTTCCATCCCTTCAGTCTCTACCTGTGTCCCCCGATGGCTTCCCTTCTATCCCTTATGAAGATACTATCATTGGACTTAGGGTCACTTTCATCCAAAATGACCTCACCTCAATATCTTTACATTATATTTACAAAGACCCTCTTTCCAAAATGAGGTTCCATTCCAACTTGTTGGGTAGGTGTGAGTTTGGGGAGGGAATATCATTGTCCTTACTACAGAGATCAGCTCTAAGCTGTTGTTTTAAAACAGCACTCAAGATCACCCCAGATATGAAAAAAAAAACATGTAAATGAGCCTAAGCTGTTTTTGAATTTTACTCCCAATCTCTTCAGGAGTGGTTTTCAGACTCAGGACTAAACGCTGCTATTCACTTAATTTCTCATTAAGGATGTGATCTGAAGAACTCCATTCAGCACTCAAGATATGATTTACCTTATATAGTAGATTAGGAGACTCAGCTGATTTTTTTTTATAAATGATAGGTTTTTATTGCCATTATCCAACTCTATACCTCAGAAACAGACACAGACAATGTGGTTCTGTTCCAATAAAACTTTATTTATGAGCAAAATAAATACACATGAACATGAGAAATTTGTCCAGAGTGGGGGGATAGACAGAACAGGTAGGGAAGTGGGGGGATTCATTTAAAAAATAATAATAATAATTTAAAAACCATAAGCTGGATATGGTGTCATACAATTTTAATCCCAAAACTCGGGAGGTAGAGGCAGGCGGATCTCTGAGATCAAGTCCAGACTGAACCAAATATTAAGTTTTAGGTCAATTGGGTCCACAGGGAGATCCTGTCTCAAAACAACAAAAACAAAAAACCTATTTATAGACATTTGAATTTTTATGTTTATATGCCATAAATTATTCTTTTGACTTTTTCCACATCATTTAAATATGTTATGAAAAAAAAAAAAACATTACTAACTCACAAGCAGTACCCAAACATGTAGCTAGCTAGATTTGGTCCATGAGCCAGAGTTTGTATTAGAGTACTGGTTAGTTTTATACTCCATTTGCATTACTATAACAAAAGGATCTGCAGCTTGATGACTTATAAAGTAAAGGAATTTATTTAACAAGGCTTGATGATTCAAACAGCATAACTGGCATCCTGGTGGTACTTACAACCTAGTGGAGAAGTGAACTAGCCACATGTAGAAGGGACACGTTTGAGTGTGAGCAAAGAACAAGAGAGAAGGAATGGGCCAAGTTCATTATTTTCAATCTTTTAACTTTTTCAAAAATAATTTATTGAGAATTTAATACATGCACATAAGGTGTTTTGATCAAATCCATGCCCGCTTTCTCCCCTCAAACTCCTCCCATATCTCCCCATCACTTTTTTCTCTACTCTTTCTTCTTCTCTGATTTATTTATTTTTTATGGGGCTTCTGGCTACTCTAACATTCCCCCCTCTAAAGAGGTAACCCTAAAATCTTCTAAGGATTAGATACAAATTCCCAAATACTTTCTACATTTTTGGCCTTTGGAACAGAGTATGTTGCTATGAGGCCCAAGGACATCCTGACTTTTGGCCAAGAAACTGGCTACTTTTCTTTGGGGTCTTTTTACCCTAACTGCCTAGCCAATTCCTACCTCCTATTCTTATCACACCATCCTCTGAAGAGGTTACCTAAATTGTCAATAGGGAATAGGGACGCAGACCACTCTGGCTTCTTCCATGCTGAACAGGGATGCAGGGTGAGACAAGAGAAGTACCCCTTCAGTGGGTCTATCAAAAAGACTCCCAAATTGCATAACTCTTATCTGTAGGGGGAAAAGAAAGCCTTTGACCTGTGAATAGGAGATGTGAAGAAGTAAAGGCAAGAATAATTAGCATTACAAATTCTAGACAGGGAACTAGAAAAAAGTCAGAATAGGGCAATTTTCAAATGTCCATTTGAGAGTCCATTAGAATTTCTTGACAAGGGCTTCCAAAAGCATCCCTCTATTGGGTTCCTCCTTATTTTTCTTTTGTCTTCCAAGGCTGGACTCTAGAGTGATGGATTCAGGATTTGCTTTCAGGTATTTTGATAGCTGTTGGAGTGGTTAGAATCAAACTCTCAAAGGCTTTTAGAGAGTGGGAAAAACAAACTTATCCATCATTTTAGAACAATAGCTGGTTGTTTCCCTTAGCTACAGGTGGGCACTACAGTATTGGAGACCAAGATTTGAAGTCTTACATCTAAGCAGTACTTTCTGGTTAGGAACAAAATCATCAATGAGAAATAATTGTCTAAATTTTTATATAGACTGAAGCCTAATGTCTGGGAAGTGTAATCCCTTGCACTCTTAAAGAAATATACTGATAACTTTACTCTTTGGTTATACTTTCCTTTTGGGTGTTTAAGACCATATAGTTGGCCCAAATAAATTAATCTTCTAATTTTTAAATTTTTATTTTATGTGTATTAGTGTATTGCCTGCACGCACATACGTGCACTCATGTCCTGCAATGCTCACAGAGGTCAGGAGAGGGCATCAAGTCCCCTGGAACTGGATTTACAAATGGTTATCAGCCATCATGTAGGTGCTGGGAATCGAACCTAGGTCCTCTGGAAGAGCATCCAGTGTTGTGATCCTCTGAGCCATCTCTCCAGCCCAAGGTCATTCTTTTTACAACCCATTCACATAGGCAATAACCCACTGTGATGATTAGTTTGTCATCTGGGCACAATCTGTAATCACTGAGAAAAGAGTCTCAGTGAGGGGCTGTCTAAATCAGATTGGACTGTAGGCATGTCTGTAGAGGACCGTAGTGTTAACTGATGTAGGTAGGAAGACCCAGCCTAAAAATGTGCAGCACCATTCCCTGGTTTGTGGCCCTGGACTACATAAAAGGGGAGAAGGTGAGCTGAGTGGAGGCAGGCACCCCTTTATTCTCTCTCTGTGCTTTCTGATTGGATGTGACTCACTGTTTCAAGTTCCTTCTGCCTTGACTCCCTTACCATGATAGGCTGTTAAAAAAAAGGAAAAGAGAACAAATCTGGATACCCACCCTGAGAAAACTGCATGGACCCATTCTGAGGGTGATACCAACTGACCTCGGCCCCACTTCTTAAAGGCTCTATTACCTTTAGTGTTGCCACACTGGAAACCAGGCCTCCAGCTCATGAACCAGAAGGGGACAAGCTATATCTAAACCATAGTGTTGGTATTAGTGTGTGTGTACATGCATGGGTCAGAGAATAACTTCTTATGGCAGTTAGTTCTCTCCTTCACCATCTGGGTTCTGGAGATCAAATTGATGCCATCAGGTTTGGTGGCAAGCACCTTTACCTACTGAGTCTTCTTGATAGCTTCCCTAGTACCTTTAATTGTTTTGCAGAACTGCATTTTCTGACCAGATATCTACCAGTTTTCCCATTGTTAGACATTTAGATGTGTTTTCCTTTTGGTAGCATTTTGAATAAGTGTTCCATGCCTTTTCAAATGAATTACAAATAAAAAAGATAAGACTTGTTCAGAGGCAAGTATCCAGTGACATTTGAGAGAAAGCGGGTAGGGCAGCTCAGACAAGTGACACTTACTGTTAGAGGAAAGAAAGAATCGTAGAGGTGTTTTATTTCTTAGCAACCCTGCAACAAATAACTGCAAACAAAATGGGTTAAGGCACCATGCATTCTCTTACAGTTCTAGAGGTCAGCAGTCCTAAATCAGGTACCAACATTTAGGCCATCCACTGGGTATTAAAGACAGTCATTGATGTATAAGGTGATTATTTTCAGGTCTGGTCAAGCTTTGGTGTTCTACCATTGATCACTTCAGACAGGAGAGTGTAGAGATTAAAGGCATGCTCAAGGATGATTGTGCCAAGAAACAAGTCTTGAGCAAGTCTGATATATGGCCACTGGTCTGTAGCCTATAGACTGACTTTAGAGGTCGACAATGGTGACCCATGGATTGTTCTGGAACCATGACTTCTTTTTTTAAAGCCTTATTTAATTTATTATTATTAGTGTGTATATGTGCGTGTGAAGTGTGTGTATGAACTCACCCATGCCATGGCATGCTTATGGAGGTCAGAGGGCAACTTTGTGGAGTTGGTTTTATCCTTCTGCCATTATGTGGGTTCCAGGGGTTGAATGCAGGTCCTCAGACTTGCACAGCAAGAGTCTTTGCCCATTGAATGCCCTAGTTGGCCATGGAACCATGTCTTATAATAAGCCTAGATAGTCAGTGGGACTCAAATAGTAAGGAAACAATTTCACTCTTTGTTCAAACCTGGTGAAAGGAAGATTTTTAGTTTGTTTTGTCATTTGAAGTGTACCCTTTACATCTTGTAAGGTTCTCATTTCCTCTCTTGGGCCATGTACTGGTGCTGGGAAGCTGCTTGGGTAAGGGCAATGAGGCTTTAGTAAGAAAAATGAGAAATGACCGGAACTGGGTAATGCACTGCATTTCATAGCCTCCCACTGCCATTTTCCAGTGTGAAGGGACAGTGAGGACACAAAACATGATTTTGGGTTAAGGCAGGTACCTCTGCCTTTTTGCTTCACTTTGGGAGGCAGAAATCCAGGTGGCATTTGAATAGTATAGAAAGCATGTGCTACCCTTAATCTCTGGACCCAGTGAGAAAATTTGTTGGCTACAGGAGCAGCTCTGGGCAGCCCTCCCAGGCTTTCCATTGTTCTTTTTCCTTCCTTTGGGACTGTATTACCCATGACCTCTAATGAGACAATGAAATTCTTCTATATAATTACTGTATTGAGAAAGTACCTACAAAAAGAACCCAAAAAAATCTTTTTTTTAATATATAAATGGAAAAATATATATATATGGAAAATTTATTTGGGCTCTGGTTTGTGGGTACCAGAACCCAGGAGCAGCATCTCACAGGAAAGAAACGGTTTCTTAAATGATGACACAACAGAATGGAAGATTCACAAGGGCAAGTGAAGATGATGCAATAATAATTGTAATACATGTGGCAGGAGCTCTGCAATTGCAGCTCTGCAACGAGGCGGCCTTCAGTTTGAATTCCAACACTGTTATTTACTCAATTTGCTGTTGAAAAAGTTTCTTAAACTCTGCATCTTCAGCCTTTTCATCTGAAGACCAAGAACAGTATTTGCTCCTATTGATGAAGTACCTGGCTCATAGTACTTGTGTGGACAAACTTTCTTGAAAGAACCAAGTAATATATCTGTGAACCATGGGGTTTTTGTTGTGACAGTTTGCCTTCCGTGTTTTAGTGTAGTTTCCATAGCCAATATGTAAATAAATGGGTGTGACTGGCTTCCAGTGGTACCTTATATACACTGAATTAGGAAATTTTACATAACCTTCACATGCTGCAATATCCCATTTTTCATCTATTTTCCGGTGCTTTTCTAAATGTGGAAACCGTCCTTAGCCCCTGAGCTGTAGTTTGCTGGCTTCCGCCACAGTAGACACTCCTCGATAATTGCTACTTCTTTCCCCTGGTGGGAACAGTAGGTTATGAGCAAAGTAGTGAATAATTACGTCTGAGAGTGATGAAGCACTGTCAGCCCAATTTTTTTTTCTTTTTTCAAAATCATTTGTAAGATCATGTTCATATTTCACTGATAAGCTGTTTCTTTTTTTTTTAACTGACACTAGCCTCTATAATCTTGTAATTTTTTATGTGTGTACACATGCATACGTGTGTCTATATGTGCGTAGTGTCAGAGGACCACCTCAACTGTCATTTCTCTGGTCTCTGATGCTGTCCGCCTTTTTTGGGGGGGCGGGGGGGGACAGGTTTCTCACTGACCTGAAACTTACCAGGTAGTCTAGGCTAGCCAGTGTGCCCCAGGGAATCTGTCTGTCTCTATTTTCCCAGAACAAGGATTATGAGAACATTTTACTGCACTCAGCTTTGTTTTGTGGGGTCTGGGGATTGAATTTAGGTCATTATACTTATAAAGAAAGCGTTTGACTGACTGAGCTATCTTGGCCCCTATAATTCTGTATTATTTTTAAAAGCTGGTCATATTTATACTTTTGGAAGGATGCCATTTGCTTTCACCACAGTTTGGAATACCTGATACTCTTTGTCATTACTAGGCTGATAGAAGAACACTTGGCTTTTCTGTATCTTTTCAGTAGGAGAATCAAAAGTTTTAGTTTGGGCTAATCCACATTTCCATAAATGCTAAACTGATTTTTCTTTCTCTTGGATTAAAGTTGTAAATGAAACTTTTTATAAGAATCGGGACTGAAGAGATGACTCAGGGATTAAGAGCATTTACTGCTTTTACAGAGGATGCAGAATCAGTTCCCAGGACCCACAATGAGGGGCTCACAACCACCTGTAACACCAGTTCCAAGAGATCCAACTCCCTCTTCTGGCCACTGTGGGCACTGCACACACATGATGCACATTCGTATATGCAGGCAAGCATTGTACACATGAAAAAACAATAAATAAATCTTTTAAAAGAATCATTTTGATAACATGCTGTGAAAAACTTCAAAACCCCAAATTTGTGGATAAGAGCTGGAAAGGACAACAAGGATATAGTGGAGGGAGAGAGTTGAAAAGGTGGTCATAATAAGTGTATATGTGTGTATATATCACAGCACAGTGAAGCCTATTAATTTATACAACTAATTTGTGTCAGTAATTAATATAATAATGAAAAAGAAAAAAATATTGCCTCAGTTTTGATTCTGGAGATAAGAACCATTTGATGCCACTGAAGAGAGTTGTGAAAATTTCTCCCCATGCCTTACTCTGCGTTTTTATAATTTAAAAAAATACAGACTGGTTAATTTAGAAAGTACAGAAGTATATTTTGTCAATTCTGGAATCTGGAAGTCGAAGACCAAGGCAGAAGTTGATCAGTGACTAGGAAGAGTTTTATCTTGCAAAATGGGAACACTGTATCCTTACATGGCAGAAGATGAAAGGGCAAGCTCACAGAACACAGCCTGAAGCCTTTTCTTTTTAACCAGGGTTTTAATCTCATTAACAAGGGCAAAGCCCCCATGGCCTGAACACTCCCCATTTCTTCATACTATGAAGTTGCCAGCTGACTTTTGGAAATGCATTCAAACTATAGTGGCTGCTTATAAGATCATAGTAAGAGCTCAGAATTGGTTAGCATTGTGGATGAGTTTATTTTGCAAATAAGTCATGGCCATCAATCTGTATTTTATTTTTATCCTGGAATTTTGGCTAAGTAATTCTCTGAATGAGGCCAATTATGAAGCATTGAGAATCTGATATTACAGACTTTTTTATCATATGAAAAGGATCCAACACCCTCTTCTGGCTTCTGTAAGCACTGCACACACAGATTACACTTACATACGTGTAGACAAATACTTATAAAAAATAAAATAAATAAGTAGAGATGGGGATAAAAATAAAACCAGTTCTCCAAAATTTCACTTTTTTGAAATACCTGCTGTAACATTTAAGCTATTTCCTCTGATTCTTCATAACACACACACACACACACACACACACACACACACACATTCTTCATATATGTGTGTATGTGTATAATTGATATGTCAATATATTATTAATAAACTCATGTCAAGACAGGGCAGTTCTTTTATAAACCTGGACTTCTTTTAGGTCCTGGCTACACTGTGTGATGGTGTCTTGGCTTTGGAGACCTTACATTTCTCAGTCTGTTTTTCTAGAACACTGTTTTGCCCACTTGGGCTGATCTTCCATTAGAAGAGATTTCTTAAGCCATCTTGTTAAACCTCAGCATGCTTTACATTTTGAAATATAGAAATTGTGATGTTACATGTACAATAAATCTATTTGACTGCTTCTTTAATATTTGTGTTCTATATAGTGTGTCAAGTGCATGGTCTGGCAATAGTGTATGTAAGACTAAGGATATAGCTTAATTGGTGGGGTGCTTGCCTAGCATATAAGAAGACCTGCATTCAATCCCCAGTACCACATAAATTGGACATGGTGGCACATGCCTGTAATCAGGAGGTGGAGGAAGGAAGATCATGAATTTAAGATCATCCTTGGCCATATAGCAAGTTTGAGGCCAGCCTAGGCTACAGGAAACTATTTCAGAAAACAAATGCCAAGCAATAGTGAATATTTAGTGACCAAATGGAATGAATATATCTTTTGTTATCATGACTTGTAATTTTCCTTATTGGTTCTATCTGTAGTTTGCTTTCCTCATTGTATATCTTTGTGGGATGAATCTACCTGTATTCATCTTTTTCTACTATCAAATCTTGTCGCTATTTTTTAGAGCCGTGCTCCAATTTCTGCAAAACTTGTGGCCAACATGCTCTCCGTTGCTGGGGCTGACCACATCATCACCATGGACCTGCATGCCTCTCAGATTCAGGTACCAACAGTTTCCTTTTGCTAGTGGTTAGGGCTTGTGTTGGTCAGTTTCTGTCAACTTAGCACAAATAAGTGTCACCTGGGAAGAAGGAACCTCAGTTGAGGAATTTCTTCCATCAGACAGACCTGTGAACATGTCTGCAAGACATTTTCTTAGTTGTTCATTGTTGTAGGAAGGCCCAACCCACTGTGGGCAGTGCCATCCCTGAGCAAGTGGGCCTGGGCTACATAAGAAAGGTAGCTAAGTAAACCTGGGGTAGCAAGACAGTAAGTAACACTCCTCCATGGTCTCTGCTTCAGTTTCTCTTTCAGGTTCTTGCCTTGAGTTCTTGCTTTGATGATGGACTAAGATAAAATTAACTCTTCCCTGAGTTGCTTTTTGTCAGTTGTTTAACATAGCAATAGAAACCAAACTATATCTTAGTGACCTCTTAAGTTAAATAATTTTAAAACGAGTCAGCATTACTGAAGTTTGGTGCATGGCTACTCTCTCCGTCTTTTGTCTTCCCTGAATTTGGAGACATAATTTTATGTTGATACTTCTGGTCCCTATTACATCTTGCCTCCAGTCAGTTTCAGGGATGCAGAAGTGGCTTCTTATTAGTATGCACTATGTAATTTCATTTCAACTTCTGGAGGCAAATGGATCTCCAGAACCCATGTCAAAGCTAGATATGGTAGTATTCATCTGTAAGTCCAGTGGAGGGGAGGTGGAGATAGATAGTTGGGTTCCTGGAGCTTATTAGCTAACCAGTCTACCCAGTGTGATGAGGTCCAAGTTCAGTGAGAGATTCTTTCTCAAAAACTAAGAGGGGCTAGAGAGATGGCTGAGTAGTTAGGAGCACTGGCTGCTCTTGCAGAGGACCCGGATTCAATTCCCAGTGCCCACATGGCAGCTAAGAACCATCTGTAACTCCAGTTCCAGGGGATCCAATGCCTTCTTCTGACCTCTGTGGGCATTGCACAACATGGGTTCACATACATACATGCAGGCAATACACTCATATACATAAAATAAAAATAAATAAATAAAACAAAAAAAAAGAAAGTGGTGAAGAAACCCAATCCATTGTTAGCCTCTGGCTTCCACATGTACATGGACATACACACACACACTTTCAGATCCCCATGCTGGTACACTAAGCACTATACACACTGAACCATCTCCCAACCCTGTAATACACATTATTAATTTCTTCATAGCTTCTTTTATCACTAACACAGTCCAAAATTTACAGTGCCTTCTTTATGATATATAACGAATGTAAAGTTTGTGGTAAGTGCTAGAAACACATATTTCCCCCCACTGTCCTGCAGTGCTGTTCATATTGACCAGGTCAATTATGTCTATCTGTGCCAACCTACAAAATAAGTGCATGTGATTGAGACCTTGCACAGGGTCAAGTTCAAGTTCCCTGGCTGCAGAAAGATCCATATCTCAAAGAAGTGAGGCTTTATCAAGTTTAATTCAGATGGAATTTGAAGATGTAATATCTAAGAAGGAGCTTGTCCCCAATGACTGTGAGGTCAAATTTATCCCATTATGGTTCTTTGGACAAGTGATGGGCCCTGCACTCATGAAGCCTTCCACTGTGATGAACCCCATCCCCACCCCACCAATCAGGCTCACCAATAAATTTCACATTTAATCAAATGAAAACCCACAAAGTGACATTGATTTCTCCTTTTAGGGATTCTTTGATATTCCTGTGGATAATTTATATGCGGAGCCTGCAGTCCTGCAGTGGATTCGGGAGAACATCACTGAGTGGAGAAACTGTATCATCGTTTCCCCAGATGCGGGGGGAGCCAAAAGGTATCATGCAAGCAACATTATGCAGAGTTCTCTCTTTACCTAGTTCTTTTCTCCTTTCTGTATTTCTTTCTGTGTTAGATAAGAAAGCATGATTTATAGGCTGGGGAGATTTCTCAGTGGTTAAAGCAGTTGCTTTGCAAGCATGGGGGCTGGAGTTCAAATCCCCAGAAACTATGAAGATGCCTCATGAGCGTGGTTGTTTGCCTGTAATTCTAACCTTGATAGACAGAGACAGGAATCCTCAAAGTAAGCTGGCTAGCAAGGCTAACCATATTAGTTAGCTCTGGGTTTGATTTAGAAACCCTGCCTCAATGAATACAGTAGAACAGCAATCGAGGAAGATTCTTAAGATTAACCTCAGGCCTCCACGTGTGTGTGCATACATGCAAGCACATATACTGGCACATATGCACACCACACACAGACACTTGACAATTAAAAAAAAGACAGCATTCTGTGTGTGTGTGTGTGTGTGTGTGTGTCCTCATGTGCACACATGTGCATGCGTGTGCATCTGTGTGTGTGTTTTGCTGGGAATGGAGTCCAAGGTCTCAGACATGCTAAGCAAGTGCCATAGTACTGAGGTCCAGGGAAGGTTTGCTTTAAATTACTTAACACTTTGCAAATGAGTAAGTAAGTAGGCCCTTTGCTTCCTGAGCAGAAATCCTGTTACCATTTCATCGTTTGTGAAAGCAGAAGAAATGCATATATGCTCACTATATATGTGTATATCTATTTTGTATATATGTTATTTAGAGTCCATATGTACAGGTTTGTTTTAATGATGAATATAAATTTCATCTAGTTATTTCCTGATTATAAAAGTAATGAACTTAATTGGGAAATAAGGACTTTAGTTAACAGTATAACTGACTAAGCTAGTCCTTCCAACCACAAACACTTGAATGGGGTAGCCCGAATAGAGCGAAATTTTACAAAAGAAATGTATATATGTAGACCAGGTAAGAGAAATGTTAAGGAATGGGCTGAAAGTTGTGCTCTGGTGGCCTAGGGGATGGGATGAGGTGGGAAGAGACTTGGATCTTGGCCTCCTGGTATGCAAGGTCCTTCATAAAGAAGAGACCTTAGCCAGTAAACAGAGCCTTTGGTTGGAGAAAATAGAAACGAGAAGTCCAACCACAAGCCAATGCAACACTCTGGTGAGTATATACTCTTTCTGGGATGATGGACTCCCTAGGGTAAGAAAATTCGTGTGAAAACCAGTCCCAGCTGCAGTGTCCATGTGGAGAAAGATTTCTTCAGTGCCAAATGGTCTGGGAGCAGTCACCACACAACTTCACCTGATCTCTGATGATTCAAGGGCAGCTATCCAACATTGCCCTTTGTGCCTGGACCCAGAGTTTGTAGCCAGCAGGGCATAGCCAGCCAGTGCCTTAAAGTGATAGAATGACTGTCAATTAGGCAAGTTTATAAAACAACAAGAGGCTGGGCATGGGGTGCACGCCTTTAATCTTAGCACTCGGGAGGCAGAGGCAGGTAGATATCTGTGAGATCGAGGCCTGCCTGGTCTACATAGTTCCAGGCCAGCTGGGGCTGCAAGGAGATCCTATCTAAAAAATTAATACAAATTTAAAAAAAAGAAACAAACGAGCAAAAAGACAGAAACCAGCTAGCACTGGCATAGTAAGCAGCTAAGAAAGTGGTGCTGAGTGTCAGATCCAACTGGCTTCAGAGAGAGCTTCAAATAATGTGTGAGCCCCGAGGGCACAGATGTTGAGACTGCAGCAAGAATAAGAAGACAATGCTGCTCTGATGCACTGTGCTCACTGCAAACTAAGGCTGTGACCCTGCATCTTGTGAAACTTGTCAGCCACTATCTACAAAGTCGGAACAATGGAATGGAGGTTTGTTTGGGTTGTCTTTTTTTTTTTCCAGTTGGAGACTACGGTAAGAAAGGGAGAGGTAAGAGACACCCCCACCCGTCAGCCCAGTGCTAAAGCTAGGAGGCTCATAAATGAATGTTCAGAATTTGAGATCAGAGTTAAGAAGGACGTTCAAGCTTCTCAAGGATTTGAAAGTGCAGGGGCCAGGGTGTGACTCAGTGGTGGGGTGATTGCTATATATGCCTACAGTTCTGGGTTCCATCTCCAGCACGACACACGTGCATGCACGCACGCACTCTCTCTCTCTCTCTCACACACACACACACACACACAGAAACTTTTTCTTCATTTGGCACCCTTATCCACCTGCTGCTCAGCTGGAGAACTAGAACATAAAAGCTGAGACGCAGCTCAAAAAGCAGTCCCAGTGCCCATCTTTGCTAATGTCAGTCCTGATTCTCAGAAAACAGAAGACCCCATTTACTGTATTCTCTCAGCTGCCATTCAATGGCCACTTAGAGTCCCATCATAGAAGGGAAGGCAGAAAGAGGCTCCACAGCTGTAGAGGGGCCTCTGACATCTGCTGAAACTGGCTCTGCACAGTAAGGAAACACACACATATAAAAGACAGCAGCAACACTTAGCTTCCCAAGCCCCCATCTAGGCAGTAATGGGGTAGGGAGCAGCACCGCATTTTCTGGCACCAAGAGTGATTGGCACAGTAGTGACCTTGGGCAGCCTGTTGAGGTTGGGCCATGTGAAGTTGTCATACACTTAAAAATGTGAGCAACTTTTCAGAGTCATTTCTGCTAGACATTGATACAAACGCTTCGTGACATTCCATGGTAGAATATGCTCTCAAATCTGTCAAATCTCTTGTAGGCCAAAGGTCTAGGACTAGTTGCTGCTCTAGGTTTGTAATAACAGCTTTATTGGGTTGTAAGTCACATACTTACGGTTCACACATTTAAATTATAGAGCTCACTTATTTTCAGTATATCACCGTTGTTGTCTACTCCCAGCATATTTCATCTCATCAACAGGAAACCCTGTGCCCATTAGCAGTTGCTTCCCCTTTCCCCTGACGCTAGCCTCTGGCCACACTAGTCTTTCTATATGTATGGACCTATATTTAGAGAACTATTCATATCAATTAATCGTACAATGCATGACTTTATTCTCTGGCATTAACAACAACAACCACCAGAAAATATAACTTTGACAGAGAGTAATCCCAAAGAATAATAGATTCCATTGACTTCTTTTCACCTGTTTTTCTTCCTTCCTTTTTTCTTTCCTTCTTTCTTTTTGTTGTTCTTATTTTAGGTTTGTATTCAGTAACAGTTTTATTATTTCTTTGAGAATTTTATACATTGTATTTTGATCATAAATTCATCCCCCTTCCCCTGTCTCCTCCTTTTTCTTTTTTTTCCTATCCCAACCCTATACATATTCAAAAACATAATGCATGCTCTCAGCAAAAAAATAATAATAAATAGCCAGTGAGATGGCTCAGTACGTAAAGGTGCTTGCTGTCAAGACTGACCTGAGTTTGATTCCTGGGTCCCACCTGGTTGGAAGGAGAGAACCGTCTCCCACAAGTTGTCCTCTGACCTACACACACACACACACGCATACACACACACACACACACACACACACAAACTGTGACACACATGCACATATGTACACATAAGTAAATAAGTAAATAAATGGAATAAGAGAAAATAAATTGAAATAATACAAAAGGTGACTTGCTCCATTTGCTATTTCCAGGGTCAGGACTGTGTTATTCAAACACATAGCACCCTGATTCTTTAACACAATGTGTAATGTGCTGTTGTGGTTTGAATGTGAAATGTCTCCTATAAGCTCTTGTGTTTGAACACTTGGTCCTCAGTGGTAGTGCTATTTTGGGACATTATAGAACCTTTGTCAGTGGGACCTGGCCACATGAACTAGGACTCTGTGGGGTGGGCCTTGAGACTCAGCTTCTAGTCTGCTTTCTATTTCCTATTCCACGAAGACTTCAGGAGTGTTAGCCACCAAAGACCTGTCTACAGCTCTGCGTTCCTTGATGATTGACTTTATTCCCTCAAACCATGAGCCAAAATGAAACTGGGCCTCCCAAATTCTTCCTTGGTCAGATATTTGTTTACAGCAACCAGAAAAAAGTAGCTGATGTGCTATATTCACTGCTGGGCATTAATTCCATAGCTGCTTACCAGATCTGTTCGATACCGTTTTAAGGGAGGATGGACTTATTTGGGCTCATGATTTGAAGGTACAGACTGTTTTGACAGAGAAGGCATGGAGGCAGGAACAGGAGGCGGCTGCTCTCTTTGCATCCTCGATCGGGAAACAGAGAGATAAATGCTGGTGCTTAGCTCTCCTCCTTTTTTTTCAGTGCAGGAAAGTAGTCTGTGAGATGATGCTGTCTGTATTCAGGGCCACTTGGTGGTTTTTAGAGATGTGTAAAATTCCTTTGTGTGCATATATCATTTCTATGATCAGGCCTCTGCTACCCACTCATAGGTTCTGTCGTTGTTTGTATAGTCCTGGAGCAGCAGACTTGCTTTGTCATTTTGTACATGTATATACGTGAGATACATTCCTAGAAGAACTGCCAAACCAATAGGCACTAGCCATTTGAGTTTTAATGGACAGTGTACAAACTGGGATATTTCAGAAAAGATACATATCAGATGATATTGTCCAGTATCAGTGCTAGTGACATGCTTCCCAGCCTCGCTCACACAGCACATTACCCGTGTCATTTTGGCACATCAGGCTTGTGACCTGTGGTATGTCTTCCTGTGAGTTCAGGTTGCTGTGGGTGAGGGCGGTTGCCCTTTCTGGCACAGTGATCTTCTGTGAGCAGAACTGTTCTTTTCCTGGGACTTTTCCTGTGGATTGGCAAGAGCTCTGCAGAGACAGAACAAGTTCACAGTGATGCCTCTCATGAGTGTCACAAATATTTCCCTGAGTTTTAATTTCTTCCCCTTTTTTTGTATTTTAATTCTCCAAAGAACTTTTAAAACCATCTTATATAGTCATTTTTATCAGTTTTTCACATTATGGTTTCAGGGTTTATGAAGCATTTGCCTTTAATTTTTTTCTCCTATGATTTTGTATATTTTTAGGGGTCTCTTTTGC